CTAGACTAAGACAAGAGGTGACTTTCAACTGAATGGACCACCTTCGGGTTTTCCAGCTCCTGTGGCCTCACCCACGCTGGCGGTGGACCGGGGTGAGCTGGGCTCCATGTCCTGGCTGTGTGCCAGCCGCTGACTCATCCTCCTGGGAATGAGCCCGGGGCCCATGGCTGGTTCTGGACAGGCAGGTCGTGGTGGGTCCAGATGAAAAGGGCTTGTTTCCGTGCTCGCCATGTGCTGACGCTGGGTTAGGAGGACAGGGAGCCGCATCCACTCACTCACCCATCGATGAGTGTGGATGGAGCGTCAGCGCTGTGTCTGAAACGCCGTCGGGGCTGTGTGCAGTTCCAGATGAGTCACAGGCTACCCCCAGGCGGCTTGGAGTGTATGGCGATGCTGCTGCTCCCATTTTTCAGAGGGGGAGACGGAGGTCTTAAGAGATCAAGACAGCTGCCCTGCTCACCCAGCTGGTCCAGGCAGAGCCCGCAGAGGAGCCCGTCCTGCCCGTCCTCACCCTCCCGGGCCCTGGAAGTCTGCCCCCTGAGACGCACACACTTGGCCCGCTGCATCCATTTGAGAGGCAAGCGTGACTCGGGTGGCCTGTGGCTCCCTCTGATTCAGCATGACTGTGTGGAGAGCTCCTTCCACGCGAGAGGCAGTGTCCCAGCTGGGCCAGGGCTGGGCCTCTGCACTGACACCGCCCTGGAGCAGGGCTGCCGGTGAGTGGGTGGCAGAAGTCGAGGCCTCCCTTGGGTGTTTATAGGCACGGGCCCAGCAGTGCAGCCGTGACACTCGGGGTGAAGCCAGAGGGTGCAGGACTGTGCCGTTGCTCCCAAAGCTGGGATCCCACTGCCTCTGTTCGTGTGACCTCCAACCGGGCCGCGGGGTCCGACCTGGAACACTGTCCCTGAGGTCCAGCGTCTCTTGGTGACCCACCTGCTCCCTTGTTGATATAAAGAAGAGTCCTTCTGTACCAGGTAATTGCGGAGTGACGGCGCCACACTTGGGAATGCCTGTCAGTGGCCATTTTTGAGCATGCCAGCTCACGGCCCCTCAACCCCTGATACGACACCCACTCTGTTTTGGGGGTGTCCAGAGGACACATTAGCTGGGAAAGGCGGGAAGAAGGCTCAGATCAGCCAGTAAAAGAAAACTCCGTGTTCTGCTCTCAAGTTATTGCTGGTGTGAGCTTCGAGAAGGATGCTCAGGGTCCTGTCCTGGCATGGCAGTCGAGAGAGCTCCTCTCCGGTAGGGTGGGCATCCCAGCCAAGGCCCAGCTGAGCTGTTGAGCCCACAGGAGATGGGGTTTTCTTGGGTGTAAGAGATTGGGGTGTGCTGTCCCCCACACTGGCTTTGCTGGAGCTGATGGCGGCCCCCATGGGCCCCTCTGCTCTTTGGAGAGATGGCGTTGTTTCAGCGTGGTGCCAACCAGCCAACATTCCACCCCGAATCGGCCCAAAGAACAAGGGCTTTTCCCCCGGGAGAAGCTGCAAAGTGCGCCTCTCCTCCGTCTTCGGAAGTCCTGGCTCCCCTTTGCCATGAGCTCCCGCAGGGCAGCGGCCAGGCTCGTGTGTTTACCTGCTTCCTGGCACGGGGAAGGTGTTCAATCCGGAGTAGTGAGTTGGCAGAGCCTCCTCCTGGAGTGGGCGAGGGCGTGTCGGCAGCCAGTGTGCTCCCAACAGGAGGGACAGGAGGTGCGCGGGGACCCCCGGCACTTGCCTTTGGTTAGGAAGCTTTCAGACTGCGGGGTCCCAGCTGTGGGTCTGCGGTAGGAGAGTCCAGTGGTCAGGGGCGTGTGTTCTGAAATAAGGCATATCCAGGCTCAAACCCACTCACCATCACCGACTCGAGGGAGTCACCCACCGCCTCCTGGACTCACTGCTCGGTTCCCCCACATCTGGTGGGAAGACGAGATCTGCGTCCTGGCTGAGCGCAGAGAAGGGAGCTCCTGGTGGAGAGGCTCCGCGGTGGGCTTGGCGCCCGCAAGGCTACCAGCCACGTCAGCCTGGGGTGGGACCCTCCGAAATCGCTGCTGTTTAATCCCTTGTCACCCACACAATGGCAGTTTCTCGTGGTGCAAGCTGACAGTTGTCCCTCTGATTGCCTGAGTGCTGCAGTGTGGGGCGGGGTTGTGCTGAGGCCCTGCCCAGCCTCCCGCAAGGGGTCAGGCCCTAGCTCGGCGCCTGCTCTGGAGAAGGAGGGGCTGTGCAGTCCCCTCCTGCAGCCCCCTTCTTGCCAGGTGGGGAGACGGTTCCCCGGGAGGAGGGCCTCGCCCAAAGGCACACAACCTGTTGGGCATAAACCCAGGCCCAGAATCATTCCTAAGGCAGTTCTCCTTCGACCTCAGCCTGAAGCAGCTCACGTTTGGAGCAGGGCCGGGCCCATGGGCCAGCTACCTGCGTGGCGCTGGGGTGCCCATGGGAACGGGATGAGGTGCAGGAAGATGGAAGCGTCCAGAACCACCTCAGAGGTGGACTGTGCGAGCTAGAGGAGCCTGTCGTCCCTGCTCTGACCGCAGAGCTGGGTGAGCTCGTTTTCATCTACAGTGGGGCTGTTGCGGGGATTAAACGAGTATGTATTTGTGAACTGTATTGTAAACAATACAGTTTGTAAATACAACATCCAAAAATATTTGTTTTAATATTATGGAGACCTAAAGTGCGCTCAGCACTTGGTAAGGGCCCTGTGGGTTTGCTGTCATCGTTGCGGGGTGTTGCCAGTAGGTGTGTGAGTTTGCATCGGTGCTCAGGTACGGCAAATAGAGAAGAGCCCTCTAGAATGGACCCCAAGGTCCCCCTTTCCTCCACGCCATCCCCTCCTGCACCAGCAGTGGCTCAAAACACTTAAGGGACAGACACTTAGTCTAGCTGCTTGCGGGGACTGGGGTTCGTGCGTCTTATGCGCAAAGCACCCCAAGTTCCTAGAACAATGCAGGGCATAAGGTAGGAACACAGTGAATTTTTGCTTTATGAATGAATACATTTGTCCCCACCCTAAAGGGTCCAAGTCTAAAGGAGGAATCTGGAGAACAGCCAGAGAAGCTCTGGAAATCAGTTCAGAAAACTTTGAACTCGGACTCTCTCAGACCCTCCCTCGTCTGCCCTCCCGATCACAGGACTCCTGTGTTCTGATTCCGAGACCCAGGCTCCCCTCTCCACGGTCAACAACTCTGCTTCTCCAGGCTTGTGTTTGATCTCACTCGGACGACTGCAACAGACTGACCTTCTGCCCTCGGTCCCCAGAAACCGAAAGAAGGACTTCCTAAAAAATAAGTCGGATTAGATCACTCCCGTGCCCAAACCCCTTTGAAATCTTCCCTTTGCCTTCAGGGTAAAACCCAGCTTCTGTTCAGTCAGCACAGGCAAAGATGCTCAGCATCACTAGTCATCAGGGAAATGTAAATCTACTGCAGTGAGCCACCACGTCACACCCACCGGGACGGCTCTTACCAAAATACACGATCACCAGAGTTAGGACGCGGGAGACTGGAGCCCTCCTACGTGGCTGGTGGGACGTGAGACGTCACCCGTGCGGCTGCTGTGGAAACAGCCCAGCAGCGCCTCAGAAAGTTAAACATAGAATCACCATGTGTGTGACCCAGCTCACACCGAGTGCTAAATACAACCTGATCAATTTTCTAGAGAACACTGTTTGCCGACTCTTTCTCCCCATTTTCATTTCGATCCCGAATCACGTTCGATTCTTTCCCATCTGCATTGCATAGCAAAGTTTCAACTTCGCCCCCGTTGTGGCTGCCAAACCCTGTCTTCTCGGACTGCAACCGTCAGGTGGAGATTTTATCCCAAAGACTTCACCCCCCTGGCCCCCGTTAGGCAGTCACACATTTTTACCTTGTGCGGCATTTGCCTTTGTTCACTTTATTTTGTTATATTGTCCTAACAGTAATGTTCGTTACAGATTGAATGGAACACTGATAGATTGCACTTATTTCTCAAGCATGTTAAATCATAACGCACACAGTAGGGGGGAATATTCGCAAGCAGGAGGAAGGGGGACACGGAGGAGGGGCTGCAGCTGACCCGAGGGAGCCCGGACCTGCACCCACAGAGAATCCAGATGGGTCAAGGGCCAGGTCTTCGTGTTCTGGGCGGGCCAGCCGTCAGATGAAGCCCTTCCTGGGGTGACCACGAGGAGGTTCTTTACAACTGACGGCTGTTGTCCTTCATGCTCAGCCGAAGGCCACCGCTCTCCAGCCAGTACTCCCTGCGGCTGGGGGTGCGTCCCCCTGATGCGGACCCCGGGAAGCCCAGCAGAGAGACGGACCACTGCCACACACAGTCCAAGTTATCTCTGGCCCCTCCTGCCCTTTTTGACCAAATGCTTATTTTTAATTTTTTTTAGGGGGGTGGGTACCTCTGGAGGACCCTCCCGGCCCCAGTGAGCTCTCAGGAGCCTCTGTCTTCCATTCCAGATGCTTCTCCCTGCCCCGGGGGGTGGAGCCCACACACCGGGGGCGGGTGGGAACTCAGCCTCAGGCAGCCTGGGAGAGAGCCTGCAGAATCAAGACTTCTCCCCGCTTTTTTCTTTTATTCCGGAGGTGACTTTCCAGGGCTGCAGTTATAAAAAGCTCCTATGTGTCGTTTTCTGACAGTTGGGCAGCTGCAGAATGCCACTTGGCAAGCACTTCTATCCAACCAAGGCTTAGCATTTGATTGTCAAAGCCACTGAAGGTTATCACAGATTTGTCCTAACGAGGTTGATGAACTCACAATAAAAATTCAACACAAAATATGCTCTTCCAAATACCCCTTCCCCAAAGTGTTATGGACAGAGCGCTACCAGGCAGGCATGTGTGGACTTGGTGGACAGGATCTTGGAAGGTAATGAGGGGGATGAACCCCACGGGGAAGGAGGACAGGCCACCAGCCTCAGCTGGCTCACCCGTGGGGTGGGCACCCCCTGTCTGGATGGATAGCTCGGCCCCATCTCAAGATGTAACTTCAAGAGACTCATCTTCTCTTTCTGCACCTCTTCCAGGCCCCATGGCATCCTGCCCCGTCCTGCAGAAGGAGAGAGTGTTCAAGTCAGGAGCCCACGCCTACCGGATCCCCGCTCTGCTCTACCTGCCGCCGCAGAAGACCCTGCTGGCCTTCGCGGAGAAACGGATGAGCAAGAAGGACGAGCATGCGGAGCTGATTGTCCTGCGCAGGGGGAGCTACAATGCCTCTACCCACCAGGTCAAGGTAAGGCGCCGTGAGGCTATAACAGCCTGCTCGAATGTGGAACCATGTCCTTAGATGGCCGGGGTCTGGGGGACAGAGGGGAGGAGACACTGAAACCCAGGAGGGCCCCAGGACCCTATGATGGATGGGGCAGAGAAAGTGCCCCCAAGTGGCCACTCAGAAAACATGGGTTCACTGGGACCAAGTCCAGTTGGCCTGGTGGCCTCGGCTTCAGTGCCCAGGGAAACCAATGTTCGGAAAGGTTTCCCTGCGTTATTGAGAATCCAGGGAGGACTCGTGTAGAATCACATAACTGGGGTTGTGTCCTTTGAGTACAATAACTGGGGAGTCGGGGCGGGAGGGTTGGGATGATTGCCCTGTCCTAAAGTTCCAGCACAGAGATCAATCAAGTCATTGATTTTGACAAAGACACCCCAGGCTGGCCTACCACATGAAGAGTTTAATATGAGTATTATCGTTACTTTGTGTCATTACATAGCAGCTATTCAGAGCACGGGGTTTGAAGCAGATGGACCTGGGTTCTATCACTTACCAGAGGTGTGGCCTTGGGCACCTCACCTACCCTGTCTAACCCCCCATTCTCCAGTCGTCAGGTGGAGCCAATAATACTTGTCTCGGGAGCTATGGGTTTGGCTCTTGACACAGTGTCTACCCTGGGAATCACTCACTGGGCGTGGCGGTTCATGAGTGAGGGTGGACGGCAGAGCTGCTGCACGTGTGACATAGACCCGGGGATTGTGGAAGCTCCATGTGCGTCCTTAGTGGCGCGGAGCCACCCCCTCCCAGGCTGCATTAGTAGAGTATGACGTACAGAAGATGGGAGGTGATTGTCATACTCTGTCCCACACAAGTCAGACTATTGTAGTTCCTACTTGGGCTTTGCTTTTCAAGAATAGAAAGTTGGACCAGCTGGTAGGTTGGGGCAACCAGGGTGAAGCTGGGAACGGCTCATGCCCAGATGACCTCTTCATCTTACGGTCTGGCGCACCGTCCATGCTCTGTGATACTGCTGGTGGGAAGGGCGGCCAAGCCGTTCGAGAGGGGTGGGCTGCCTGGGAGGCGGTCAGGTGGAGCTGGGCTCCCGCAGCTCCGGGAGGGCATGCGAGGTGAGTGAGGGCTGATGAACACTTTCCCCCACGACCTTTGACCTAAGCCCCTAAGACGCCCCCACCCGCGGGGGCAGGTCCTGTCACTGTCACTGGTCATCTCAGGCAGTGCCTCCTCCTTTCTCTCCCCACATTCAGTGGCACGCGCAGGAGGTCGTGGCCCAAGCCCAGCTGGAGGGCCACCGGTCCATGAACCCGAGCCCCCTGTATGACGAGAAGACGGGGACCCTCTTCCTCTTCTTCATTGCCATCCCCAACCAGGTGTCTGAGCACCACCAGCTCCACACCAGGGTCAACGTGACGCGGCTGTGCCAAGTCACCAGCACCGACCACGGGAGGTCCTGGAGCCCCGCCAGAGACCTCACCGCCTCCGCCATTGGCCCGGCCCACGAGGAATGGGCCACCTTTGCGGTGGGGCCGGGGCACTGTCTGCAGCTGCACAACGAGGCACAGAGCCTGGTGGTGCCAGCCTACGCCTACCGGAACCTGCGTGCCCACCAGTCACCCAGCCCCTTCGCTTTCTGCTTCGTCAGCCACGACCATGGGCTCACGTGGGAAAGAGGCAACTTTGTGGCCCGGGACACCCTGGAGTGCCAAGTGGCTGAGGTCGGGGGTGCAACACAGAGGCTGGTGTATCTGAACGCTAGAAGCCCCCTCCGGGCCAGGGTCCAGGCCGAGAGCGCCAACGACGGGCTGGATTTCAGGGGGTCCCAACAGGTGCAGAAGCTCGTGGAGCCCCCCCATGGCTGCCACGGGAGTGTCATCGGCTTCACGAGCCCCAGCGCAGGGTCCGACCCGTCGAACAAGTGGCTGCTCTACACTCACCCGACGGATCCCCGGCAGAGGTCCAACCTGGGCGCCTACCTCAACACACGGCCCCCGGCCCCCGAGGCCTGGTCCCAGCCCGCCCTGCTGGCCGCGGGCAGCTGCGCCTACTCAGACCTCCAGAGCCTGGGCGTCGGGCCCGACGGCTCGCCCCAGTTTGGGTGTCTGTACGAATCTGACAACTACGAGGAGATCGTCTTCCTCATGTTCACCCTGAAACAAGCCTTCCCGGCTGCATGCTCACCGCAGTGAGCCCCCAGCACTGCCCTGTTCTCGTCCCGCGACGGGCGAACGGGTCTGCCTCTGACTTTGCAGCGTGGGGTCTGCCTCTTGGCTCTGTCGTCCCTTGTTGTTTCATTATCTCCGCAGTTTCTGTTTTTAGCCCAGAAACTGAGGGAGCCTGGCTTCCCGGAGCCCCTCTGCACCCCGGGCCCCGCGTCTGCAGGTGCATCCACGTCTTCTTGGGAAGAAGGGCCGCGGGAAAGGCTGACAATGACGCGAATTAGCAGCGATGTGCGACTGTGTGTGTTTTTGAGTGTGTCTCCTCAGTAATGCGTCAGGGCAGACAGTGAGGGGAACAGCTTTGCGGGGAGATCAGGCGGAGTCTAGGAAAATCAAGCTAGCTGGAGTCATTGGGTCCGTTTCCTGGGGCTGCCAGAACATTCGGCCACACACTCGATGGCTAAAACCGCAGAAATTTATTCTCTCTCGGTTGTGGAGGCTGGGTGTCCAAAACCCAGGTGTCTGGGAGGCTGTGCTCCCTCCACAGGCTCCAGGGTAGAACCTTCCTGGGCCCCAGGTCTTTCTCATGGCTGTGTCGCTTTCATGCCTCTGTCTTCTGATGCCTTTCTCCTCCTCCCCCGAGTTTTCTCTTCTGTCTCTTAACAGGACACTTGTCGCTGGGTTAGGGCACAACTGGAGGACCCAGGCTGAGCCTTCACTTAATGACATCCGCAAAGACTCTTTTCCAAATAATGTCACATTCACGGGTTCTGAGGGTTGAGGTGTGGATATTTCTTTTGAGGGCTATCACTTAACCCACTCCTGTCAGAAGCTGTTTTTGGACAGGTGATGTGGCTGAAGGTATGAATGAAATTCGGATGACAAAGACGTATGGAGGGAGCTGCTGATCGCATGTCCATGACACGGGCGGCGCCCGGGCACTGAGTCTTTGTGTGACAGATATGTCACCGGCTGGAGGTGAAGAGGGAGGGGAGAAGGCGCTTTTGCTTGTGTAGTTTTTTTATTTTTTTTATCCTCACCCGAGGACATTTTTCCATTTTTTGTACAGATAGAGTGGGAGGGAGAGAGAGGAAGAGAGAGAGAGGGAAACATCGACGTGAAAGGGACACATCGAGTGGCTGCTACCCGCACAACCAACCAGGGCCGGGGACAAACTGCAACCGAGGTACATGCCCCTTAGCGGGAACCGAACCCGGGTCTCTCTGGACAGCAGGCGGACGCTCTAACTGCTGAGCCAAACTGGCCAGGGCTTGATTGTGTAGCCACATAGGATGAACAGAGAAGGCTGCTCCCAGTTGTCCCAAGGATGGCAAACCTAAATGAAGGAGGTGGATACCTCTCTGAACTTTGGCATCTTCAAGGGCTATGGTCACATGTCTGTTTGGAAAAGTAGGCTTGCCTCCTGCCCCCCACTGTCCGAACCCCTCCAATCTCCTCTCTTATCGACTGGGTCAGTCTGGCAGGCTGATGACGGAGGGATCAATGACAAAGGCCACAGGTCCTTGCAGTTGCGCTGTGTCTTCGTGTGGCCAAGCAGTGGTTAAATGGAATTTTCAGTGAGGGGAACTGGAGGTGTGGCTTTGGTTTTGGGTGTGGTCCCTGGCACTGGCCTCCTATCTGGGTGCTGCTTCTCCGTGTAGGGTTTTCATAAATCCAGCTGATGAATGAGGAATGAGGGCCTGGCCATCGCTGGGATAAAAGTTAGGCCCTTTTGTTTTGGAGATGCTCGCCTGGTATCTTCCAAACCTGCAAGGGTAGCTGGTGGGGCGGGGGTGGGAGTCTGCGGCTGAGTCGGGAGGGTGAGGACAGGCGCATACAGGTGAGGGACCGCACACCCTCAAGATGGATCGGGTCACTTCTGAGAGTGAACTACTATTTGTAATCACACCAACAATGAGCATCAACCAGGCCTGTTCTGGGCAAACTGAGAGCTTTAAGAGAGAAAGGCCCACCAAGGACGGTCCAGGGACTGGCCTCCACGAACCACCCCGGAAGAGCCTGTTACCTGTTGAGAGTTGTGACTTGAGGCAGGAATAGGCGAGGGTGTCTGGCCACTGTCAAGCAGAAGGTCACTCTCCTAGATCCTCACCAGTCACAGAGGCCGGTGGGCCTAAATTCCAGCTGCTTGTTTGAATGCCCTGGGGAGTTTTCAAACCACGCTGATGCCCAGGCTCTGTCCCTGACCAACTGATTCATGATCTCTGGTGGTGGGGCCCAGGCATGGATATTTTTTCAAAAGTTTCTCAAATTATCCTAGTGAACATATGGCATAAGAGCCATTGGCACAGATGATCTCAAGTTCTTTCTAGCTCTAAATGCATACAAATGCCAAAGTCTTCTGATTTGAATGCAAAATATATAACCAATAGTTTATTTGATTAAAGCTGATCTACACTTTAAAACGCACCACTAAAAGTGAAAAGAAAAGCCATAAATGGGAAAAGATATTTGTTATACATATATCTGACAAAGGACTTGTATCCAGAATATATAAAGAGCAACTACAAACCAATAAGAAAAAGGCAAATCATCCCATAAAAACGGACAAAACGCTTGAGCAGGCACTTCACAAAAGAGGATATCCTCAAGGCTGCGAAGCCCATGGCCATCAGGGAAATGCAAATTAGAACCATGAGATCCTTACACAGTAGAAAAACTAAAGTTAAAAAGATTGACAGCAGCGAGTATTGGCAAGCATGGGAAGCAACCGGAATTCTGGAAGAAGAGTAACTAGTACGAACACTGTGGAAAGATGTTTGTCAGTATCTACTAAAACTGAACATGCAAATGCTCTATGATGAAGCAGTGCTACCCTGAGGTATACATCCAAGAGAAATGCACACAAATGGCTGCCAAATACCCAGAGGAGAATATCTACAGCAGCTTTATTCATAAGAGTCCCAAACTGGAAACGTCCCAAACTGGAAACAACCCAAATGTCAATAGAAAACAGAATAAATGAATAACTAAATTGGGAAATATTGATGCAGCGGAATATTACCCGACAATAAAAGAATGAACTACTGCTACACACAACAGCATGGCTGATTTTCAGACGTTATGTTCAGTGAAAGAAGCCAGACTCCAAAAAGTACATACCCGCCCTGGCTGGTTTGGCTCAGCAGTTGGAGCATCAGCCCGTGGTCCAGAGAGACCCAGGTTCGGTTCCTGCTAAGGGCATGTACCTTGGTTGCTGTTTGTCCCCGGCCCCAGTTGGGGTCGTGTGGGTGGCGACCACTCGATGTGTCTCTCTCACAGCAATGTTTCTCTCTTTCTCTTCCTCCCTCGCCCCTTCCTGCTCTGTCTGAAGATAAATGCAAAAATGTCCTCGGGTGAGGACAAAAAAAAAAAAAAGAGTACATACCTTATGATTCGATTTGCATGAAGTTCAAGAACAGGCAAACCAGTCTGTGGTATATAAGTCAAGACAGTGGCCAGTTCCGAAGGAGCTAGAAGGAGAACGTGCTGATGTTTGACCTGGTGCTGTCAGGAGGGCGCCTCCATATGTAAAACTTCAATGAGCTGTACACACGAGATGTGTGCACCTTACTGTATACAGATTATACCTCAATGAAATATAAGAGTGGAACTGAACAGTGGATTTGTTCATTAAACCTCCAAAGAAGTATGTGATGTTGGATTGTAAAACTTTGCAACTGAATTTTTAAAATAAACTTGTTTGGAGGAATAATTGTAGATATACAGAAAAGTTGCAAAGCTGGTGTGGAGTATTCCCGTACACCCAGTGTCCCGGTGTTAGCATCTTCCATAACTGTGGCATATTGGTCAAAACTAAGAGATTACTATTGGTGCATTACTATGACCTGAACTCTAGACTTTATTCAGATTTCACCAGTTTTTCCACTAATGGCGTTTTTCTGTTCTAGGATCCAATCCAGAACATATTTAGTGCATACTGAATTTTACTATAATTTGTGTCCGTAGAGACACACACACCCAGAAACTGGTGCACACGCCAGCAGGCCGCTCCCCTCCACCCACCTTCCCCTAAAAACCACTTGTCAAACAAATAAACAACAAGCCAACGCCAAGAACATGGGCTTCAGGCCTGCACTGCTGGACTGGACACGTCAGGGTAGTTCAGCCTCTGAAGGTTTGGGAAGGTGGCCCCCAGGTCAGTTACCCCAGGGCTCCTGGTCCGGGCTGCGGCATATTGGCCGGGCGGGGGGAGGGGGAGGTGTGTGGCTTGGCCAGTTTTGAGCCCAGTGCCACTGCCCGGGACATCCAGGGACTGTTGTGGAGTGTGTGTGTGTGTGTGTGTGTGTGTGTGTGTGTGTGTGTGTGACACAGTCATTGTTCTCACACTACCAAGCCCAAGCGGAGGGAGTCTGGTAGCTGTGCTTGGGACTCTGCCTGGTGACCTGACAAGCAGGGCGCAGACACAGCAGGAAGCCCAACCTCACCAGCACACTCTGCTTGGAGCAGACGGGGTCCTGAAGTCCCGGGAGTGGGGCGCCGCCTCGGTCCCTGCAGATACCTGCCTCAGGGCTGTTATCCGCACGGAGGAATCAGAGCTCATCGCCAGGAGGGACCCCCAGGCCCAGGCCCGTCGTCCTCCTCACATCCCCATTCATTTCCCCTCCCGTTCGGCCAGGCAGCGGATGAGCACGGGATGAACACGGAGCACCGAGGGCTACGTGCTGTGGTCCTACCCGCGCCTCACACGCTGCACAGACTTTGCAGAGCTGGCCCCCTAAGGAGCCTGAGACCCCTCAGCGTCAGTCACGTGGCCAGGGCCCCTTTCCCACACCACCCGCCGCGGGTACCAAGGGTTCAGTTTGCTCCCCAGGGTGGCTGAGGCCACATTCACACAACAGATGTGAAGCAACCAGATGTTGTTCCAGGAGATGGGGATTCAACAGTGACAAGACAGAGCCACTGTCCTTGAGAAACCCTCGGCTCGTGGATAAAGTGGGCGATAAGCACGCAAGCAACTAAGTAGGAAACGCAACCCTACTGATTAGTGTGAAAAGAATGTGGAAGGGAAC